CTGCTGCATGATTACCATTAGTCTCTATGCAATATGGTTTATTTTTGTTGCATATATACACCTTGTATAACACCATTGTCATGCAAAATCAAAAGATGTCACACACCTGCAAGCTCAGCAGGCAAAAAGATAAATCTACCAAAGAAAAAACAAACATTGTTATGTAACAAACTACCAAAGTAGTCTGCAGGCTTCAGACGCATCCTTGGTAACAATCACTATAGCACCACTAAAGAAAGGACAGGATTGCGTAACGACAAACTCGATGCCTTCGTATGCCAGTTAAATGCAGCAGATATAACCCACATACAGCACAGGTGATACTGAGAAGAATTGGATGCTTGGATGTATATTTCAGTACCCAAAATGAAGATAATTTCAGCAAAGCCATACACACACCTCCCACACTAACAGCAGAAGAGATAGTTACCCTTCATAAAGGAGAATGTTTGCAATTTATTTTACCAGGAAATCCCATTGAGAAGTAAAATCAATAAAGAGTGACTTGGCCAAGGTTGCTACTGTACCGAATCACATTCAAATACAACACGATGTTGGAGCAAGATTACTGAAGGCATAATCAAAAGTAAAGCTTACATGTGGCCAAGGTTCACATTCATCGAGTGTATGCATGTCACTTCACATATGCGGAAGTGATTGCAGTTCAGTTTGAATGTTGTAAAAATACATATTAAAAAAAAGGGAAAGATCTGTTCTGCATTCGATTATACAAATAGACTGTCGAAGGCTAAAGACAACTGATTTAAATGGATTATTGAAATCTGCAAAGACAACTGTGATCCAGTCAGCAAAATGTGGATTTGCAGATGCAATTTTATGTCAGGTAGGCTATGTTGAATCTTTGGCTCCATTTAAGCTAGTGTACAATTCTTTAAATGAAAAAGTGTAATAAAACAACCGAAATATTAATTATGCCCTGTCACTTTAATATCACAGACAAATCCTGCCTTGGAGTAGTTGAGCCATCAAGGGTTTTGTAGACTTCAGGCTTTGCTTTGTGGATTTCCCCTGCGTCGTAATCAGGAACATATAAATGTCAGGAAACCCGATTCCTGGCCACGCGTCAATATCCACTGACAACTAGTTATTTTGTATTGTGTAAGGATCCCTGTTGAGTCCAACTGCCTTTGATTTAAGCACATACTCATTTGTTTTACTCACATTTTCTCTTATGGCACTCATGATGCAGAGTGCTGTTTTGAACTTTTGCCACTAAGTCCAACACAGGCAGAAGTGTTCTGGTTGGAAGGTGACGTCTGCTAAATCCGCAGAGTGGCTGATGAGTAAATAAGACACAGGTGAGGAGGTAGGAGGGGAAGGCCAGGCAGAGCGGATGAAGGAAATGATAGCAGGTGTGTAGGTGGGAGGTGAGTCTGAGGACATCTGCTGGATGGTGTGAGGATGGCAGATCTGGGTAGTGTGAGGGAGGGTATGGCCTGAGGGAAAAGAGCAGAAAGGAGACATGCCAGGAAACAACAAGGAGAATACAAACTCCTTGTGACAGTAATGGGCTTTTCTCTGTGGAACCAACAGGCCTCATTTACTTGATATTGTTTCCTTTTAAATAAATGTAACCAGCTAAGATTCATTCCATCACCTTCTAAACCAAAGGAATTAATCTACATAGGTATTTAAAAGCAAAGCTACATTTTCTACCTGCATGATGGGCTGAGAGATAACACAGAAGCGCTAATATCAGACTGCTTGCATTTCAAACGCAGACATATCAAGTGTCATCATTGTTTTGCCCCTGAGATTTGCTCAAAACATATAGTATATTTTTCTTATTTTAATCACTATCACTTCAAATGTTACATTCACAATTGTTCCATTAAAATCTAAGTTACATTGAGGCCAGAACTATCAGGCCTATATTTTATTATTGTAGCAACGACTGTGAGAATTCAGAATGTTAACATTGCTTTGATTAAAAAAAACTGTGCTCACTCAGATGCAAAGAAAGGTATCTTCAGATCTCTTTAAACAAAGTAAAATGGAAGATTTATATGAACATTTCATATCTGAACACGATGGCCACATGTGGGCAGCAAGACCAAACTGTAAGCACAACTTTGACACAATAAGTAAAGTAAACTTTTTTCGCAAACTGTTGCCTAATTACACATCCGCAGACACAGAGACACATTAGCATTTTTTGGAGTGCTGTTTTCACCCATGACTACAGGATTTTCTTAATTAAATCTCTTGGAGTTTCGTTTTGCGCTTCACAAACTCCTAAAGGAAATATAAAACTATACCAGCGAGTGAGCGAGAAAAGTAAAGATAACGAGGCTACGGCAAAGCAGCTAGTCAAGGCTGAATGAGCTATGAACTTCAGCAGTGTGCAAGTATGCTTACAATGACAATGCATGTTTAGCTGTCATATTTACCATCTTATATTTACAAAATGTGATGGCAATCCATTTAATAGTTGCTGAGAGATTCATGTCCAGACACTAGTGTCGCTAAATATATTTATTAAAGTCACAGCAGCTTTAAATGACCTTTGCCAGTCATACTGTTCAGGTTTAAAACTGTTCATGTTTGCATTAACAATAAGTCGAACATGATCAATCAATGACTCCTGTGAAGTGAGAAAAACTGTCAGAACCACTAAAAACATACTGTGTTTCTCGAGAAGTTTGGAAACGTTGCATGTTATTGCTCTGGATGTTGGTACTTCATTTGATAGTAAACACAGATGGTACACACACAAAACATGATGCTTCTAGAGTAGTACTTTGTCAAATTGCATGAGTGTACTCAAATGCAATTACATAATGTTTAGTACACACACCACTCTTGTGCATAAACACAAAATGCCACAGATACACTGGTGCATGTGGCCGCTGCTTCCTCTGTGGCAAATGAAAGAAATGCATGTCAGACCTGGTCTGCAGAGCACAGCTGCTCCTTGGTTTTTACTTTCATGGCTTTTCTTGTACAGCCAGTATAGATGAGGATGTAAGCTGCAAGGGTAAACAAACACTTTAATGACTGCTTCTGGAAGTCCTTTTAGGCTTCAACGTGAAGGGAAGTTGTAACAATATCTCATTAAATAAATAAATAAGCTTTAATATGTTTTGACAAATCAAATTCAGAGTTCAAAGCAAAGTTTGCTAATGCAGTAAGACTGAAAATAAGAAGGTAAAATACATGCAAGTACTTCCAAAATGTAAGAAACCAAGAGAAGCGACCTTATCTTTGGCTTAACAACCATTTATTTCTAGATCGTTTTATGGCTGTAGAACTTCCTCACATCACACAAGCTCATGTAGCATAGAGCAGATCCTTTTATATCATCTCTAAATGGCAAACAAGTTTTTATTCACCATCTCTGTGAATGTGAGCGACTTCTTTCAGCCAGACATGCATGCAGACACTCACTTCCTTCTGAAATCAACCAGCACATTGTGTAACTAAAATTAGATGAGACGAACACTCACATGTTAACAAGCACGCAAGTCCTCGATTTAGCAGCACTGTGGTTTCACCAAAATTAGGAGCAGAAAGACTCGAGATCTAATAAGAAATGCAACTATTTAAAATGTACTTCCCTTTAATACAGTTGCACATAAATCCATTTTTATCCTGTTCTATGCTTCTGCTCATCTATAATCAGAAGCAAATGGTGTCACCACTTGTAATCACTTTATACAGTATATCAAAATCAGTTATCCTTTCATTTAGAATCCCTCAACGTTAAAGATGAATATTGCTTTAGTTTTACCACAAAAATAGAGTAATATTAACTGTCTAAAACAGCTCTACTTCAAAACCTGGCATATGCTAACCAGGTAAAATTACAGTCAATGAACCCACCATGTTGTTTGAAGAATGGTTAATAAGTGACACTAACAAAAGGGAATGCCATCCTTCCTTTAATCAATAATGGATGGATAAGGAAACGTTTTGAGTAGCAGTCTGAAGGTGGAGGGACCTCTACTGGTGTTATCAGTGTCTTGTCTGATGTTGAGTGTAAGAGTTATATTTAAGAGCAACAAAAACGAATCAAAAATAGTATGTTGAGAGCAAGTTGAGCCAGACACAGTGTCCCAAATTCTTTACTATTAATTGTATACAGTTATTTGTTTCAGGTCAGTAATTTTCAAATAGAGCATTATAGACTTGTACAGATCTCGCTTTGAATTTGTTGGTTGGTTTGATTAGTAGTAAGGTATTCTTTTTTGGCTCATTTTATCATTGTGCATTGCATTGTGGGGGAAAAAATACAGCATCATTTAAACAAATAATGTTTTTTTGTGTGTGTATAACAACTGAAATAAACCAGACCAACCACAATGAGCTGTGTCATCTAAAAGGTTTGAACAGTTGATTTGTTATTTGACAGTTTATACAAAGTACAAATAAAACAGTGAAATGCTATAAACATAAAAAAATAAACTGGTTAAGAAGGCAGCAACGTTACACGTTCTTACACATAACACAGACATGTAAAATACAGAGAACACAACTAATTAACCAAGAAGACTAAAAGCAGTCACTACATTGTGCACATTTGGGTACACTACTTATTACTGCAAGAGCAGCTGGTGGTAAGGACCTCAGACAAATTCAATTTAAAACATGCTATTGAGACAAGTGCCCTCAGTTTGAGGCGTGATTGAAGGTCATTCCAAGACCAAGGACCATGATAAAAAAAGACTCCTTTTCCCAGCCTCAGTTCGCACGGCAGGACCCTGGAACCGTATCCAGGCACTGGATCTGAGGTTGTAAGAGTCACAAACTGGAGCAAATCTGGCACATATGTACAGTGGACGCTTACCTAAAATGGCTTTATACCCTAAGAATGAATATTGCATGTTATGTTATATAAAACATATTTATTTAAATATCCCTGCAAGTGAATGTTTTCAGAAATGTTCATGTGACATCAAAATGTAAAAAATATATTCAACTTTAGATGAGGACATGATTCATCCACTAGAGGGTAGCAAACACGCAAAAAACAGAAGTCGTTTTGTGATTCCACAACAAAGTTTATTGAGATGTCTTTAATTTCTTTGTGCATGCACCAGAAATAACCCGTGAAATAATGTATGTACAGTACAATAACCTCAAACACTTATAGGTGTCACTTCACACTCGGCTCAATGAACAATTCTTTCATGCATCTGCAATCTGATAATGGCTTTCCTAACTTCAAGGCATACATACATGACGATCAACAGCACTCCTTATATCTTATACAAATACTTGAATTCTAAAGTTTTCATCGTTTGCTCCTTTGTTGTGATTTGCCTTATTTTCGACACCAGGTTTGATCTATTTGCTACTGCTGTGGCACAATAGGCTTTCAGATGATCTTCAAACCACTGGCACTTGTTCCAGACTAGTGTAAAGCCTGGAGTTGATTCTCCTGTGACTCCTGTGTTTCCAGTAAATCGTTCATTTGTTGAATTATCTTCATCAAGTTTCTTTTGCTTTCTTACATCTGTCAGATGTCTTCATCAAGTCACATTACCCTCCTGTGCTCAGTTTATTCTGTAGATGGAGGAGTGAAAAAAAAATCATTTTGACATGTATCAAAGAGTGACAGTGGTAGATTTTTATATATATATATATTGGAGTCATACCTTCTTGGCATTGTCCACACACTGCATGTAGGCCGAGGCGATACTGGAGCAGGACAGAGTCTTTCCAGTGTTCTCCCTGTAGCATTTCAGAATCTGACCCTGCAGGTCACTGCAAACCGGCTGGATATCAACACGCCTGTGAGACACATGTAAATATAAAGAACAATGGTTTCTGAAACATGCAAAGTAGAGAAATATCTTATATATACGCTAAAATCCTTTAGTTCCCTCCAGAGGGAGTTTCTCTCCCACACACTTCCTCCCTGTGCCTGAAACACCTCTATTGGACTCATTTGTTTACTTCCAAAACATAGTGACATCACTATGTTGCGGACTGGGCTCTGGTTTCAGACAGAGGGTGAAAAGAGGTGCTGCAGAACAGGCAGTATGAGAAAAGTAAATACCTTTTTGAACATTGAAGCACAGTAGAGATACAAAATACAATATGAACCTGCAAATGAGCATACTAGGTCCCC